TACCCGTCACCACATCGGGTGCGGCGCGTGCCTCCTCGGTAGTCAACTGGAATGCTCGGGTCCTCACCACCGGAGCCTCTGCCTTGCCCTGCCGGCCATCCGTGATCCGCAAGGTCGCTAGAGCTAGCGCCTTCACCGACGCTGAAACTGTCAACTGGGGGCAATTGGCCTTTTTGTGGCCCCTCTGGTTGCAGTGGAAACACAACAACTCTGATGTCTGAATAACTGCTGCCGGAGAAGTGCAATCCCTGTTGATGTGCCCAGACTTGCCGCACTTGTAGCATCCTGATGATCCCATCCTGCACGCCCCCTCGTGCGGCATGCCGCACTTCCTGCAGCGGCCCGGTCCTGACTGGCCTTTCGGCCTACCATCTGATCCCTTGGGCTTCTTCCCCGAAGCCCCTCCTGCCTGTCCCTCCTCTAATTTTCGTTTCCGGATGTGCTCCAAATCTATCTCCCTCTCCCTCGCCCTGGCAATCATAGAGTCCAAGGTAGGGCAAGCCGAAAAGCTAACATGCTCCCGGATGTCAGCTCGAAGCATATCGTGATAACGAGTCCTCCTCATATCCTCGTCACCAGCATACTAGGGTACCAACAAAGCCCTCTCCCGGAACTTGGCGGTGATCTCCGCCACTGTCTCCGTCGTCTGTCTCATATCCAGAAACTCCCTGGCCAGCTGCTGAAGCTCGACAGCCGGTGCAAACTCTGCCCTGAACCTGGTCACAAAGTCCGACCAGGTCATAGCCTCGATAGCTGAGGCTCCCAACGAGTCACCCACTGACTCCCACCAATCCCAGGCTTGGTCCCGTAAACACCCCACTGCATATCTCACCTTCGACCCCTCGGGGCAGAAGCTAGTCAACTGTGCAGACTCGATGTCTGCAATCCATCGCCTGGCAGCAATAGGGTCTTTCACCCCATGGAAGTCCGGCGCACCACTGCCCCTGAAGTCCTTGAAGGACAGTGTGCGAGATCCCGACTGGCTAGATGCCAAATCACTCCTGAATGCCCGCAGGCGATCCTCCATCAACTCCATAATCCCTTCCTTGATCGACCCAAAGAGAATGGGGGTCGACTCAAGAATGCCTCTGGTGATCTCTGACGCGATGAACTCGCGTAGCCCCTCATCTACCGGCTCGGAACCTGATCCCGAACCTGACCCCTCTCCAGAACCGCCATCCACCGGCCTCGATCGAAGTACCACCATTCTGCAATACATCACAACAATCATTAGATATACTGATACTTCATGAGGGATCACAGCTACTTACAAGGTCCCTGGTCTTGTCTTGGCCTTCCTTGGTTCGGGTACGGATCCTCTACTTTCAGTAGTACGGGCCCATACTACCTTCCACATCTATCCGTACCTTCTTCAAGGACTGCCTCGACTCCACCAGGTCCCTTACACTAAGGCTGGTTACTACTATACTCATCCCAGGCTCGCCCTAGGGAAATCTCCGACTCTACTCGATCCAGTCCTCAGCTGTTGTAGGCCTCCTTGTAATGCCAATTAGCCATCGCCCGAATACCATCACATGCAACGAGACTCAGATAATCCTTCGAGTACCCGACTCATCCCTACAACGGTTGGACTCAAACAAGAGCTGCACAGTAGGATCAAATCCGGTACACTAAGATTATTCAACTCTGATCACATGTGATGTGACGTATTCGCCTAATGGCTAATTCCCATTATTCGGAGTCCCACGTAGCACGAAGCAAGCAGCATTCAGACAAGGGAAACAACCTCAAGCAATTCCGCTCTCATAGAGAGAAACTGAACTAGCACACCATGCTAACTCATACTATCAGGCACACCCTAACAGGCTACCCTACTGCTATCTACTCTATACTAGCATGCAATTCTCATATAGGTGGAACACATAAAGCAGGCACACAAGGCATCACTCCTAAATCCTTAGTCCTATTCTAGCATGTTGTTCTACAAAAGTTGATAAACATAACATAAACTTGTATGGGTACTTTGGGGAATACTTACTCGAGCTCGGCCGGTCGCGCACATCACACACACCTTGTTCTTTCTTAAGCTCTTTTCTCCATTTAGAAAACATTTTCTTTAAAAAAATCTTTTAATCCCTCGATTTGAGTTCAGACACCCCCGAAGGTGAGTCCGAATCCCTCAAACCAGGGCTCTGATACCAACTTGTAACGACCCAATTTTCACGTCCGAAAATTTCGTTTTAAAAACATTACTTTACAAAACATTAACAATTAAAAACATTGTTTGATCAAACCATAACACAACGTAAACCATGTCTAAAAGCCAAACCATACAACCCATCAAAATATCAGAGTACAAATCCCGGGTGAATCTCGTAAATGCGGAAACCAGAGTGTGTGCATGATGTGCCGCTACCGCACCAGCTCCTTCTCCTTCGAAGAAGAGGTACCTGAAACCAAAACTGTAAAATGTAAGCACAAAGCTTAGTGAGTTCCCCCATCGTACCGCATACCATACAAACACATAATATACATACTGCCAGGCTATTCTGGGGTGCCTGACTACCCGGTACGGCCATTCTTTGGGTGCCGACCTACCCATACGGCCATTCTGGGGTGTCGTCCTACCCGTGTCAAGCCATTCTGGGGTGATGACTACCCATGTCAAGCCATTCTGGGGTGATGACTACCCATCGGTCCTAACAACCGATCCTCGGGGACTGGTCCCCTCCTACTACCTCTATCGCATAACATAACAGGCCAGCATATAAACATATCATCACATACTGTCAGACATTTCTGGGGTGTCTGACTACCCTTCGGTCCTAACAACCGAACTCTACTACTATCACATATAACGTATCATACTAGCATATAACATATCAGGTAGTAGCAAACCTAGATGATATCACAAAGACAATCATCTATCATACGTCTCCTACTGGTGGGCCAGCATTGTGGCCTTAGACCCACCGCTACTGGAAGGTAACTCACCTCAAAGTAGCTGTTGAATTGATCGGGAACTGACTGACTGCTGCTGCTGCTGCTCCGGAAATCCTCCGGCTGCAATTCCCACAACATACTCAATCAAACACTGCTAACTGTCCTTTGGGTAAAATGACCATTTTACCCCAGGTCTAGCCCTAAGTCAAAGTCAGAGTCAACTTTCAGTTGACCCGACTTGCCGAGTTGGCTCTCCAACTCGCCGAGTTCCTATCCAGACGATTGTCCTGAGTCCCTATTTCTACTCGTCGAGTTAGGCTATGACTCGATGAGTTCTTCTTCTAAACTAACATTCAAGTCCTTCATCCTACTCGCCGAGTTGTATGAACAACCCGTCGAGTTCATCTTCATCCGATGAGCACTTATGCGGCGACTCGCCGAGTTGTATGAACAACTCGCCGAGTCTGTTCTTGATCTAAGGAGATTGCCTTGAACTCGCCGAGTCAGGGAATCGACTCGCCGAGTTCCTCCATAGATGAGTTCGACTTCCAACTCACTGAGTCACACTCTGTGACTCACTGCACACTCGACACTATGAAAAGGGGACAAATTCGGACACTCGCGAGCAGACTCGCCAAGTCACATGAACGACTCGCCGAGTCGTTGCCATGCACCTACAAAATACACAGATTTGCTCGATTCCAGTCCATGCCATTCACAGATCTGGACTCCTAGAACACGAATCACACGTAAAGTTTCCAACTTTACATGTAGATATTCACCCATGAGGGTTTTAGGGTTCAAAATGTACTCAAGAGGGTAGATCTAGGGTCTTCATGCAATGAGGGTCCATAAAGGCAACAGATCTGAGCTCCTGGAGCTCAACCATGCCTAGATCTAAGGGCCAATCAGCCTATTATGAGATAATTTGCACATACAAACTTGGGGATTGGCTCAAGAACGACTTTCATGAAGTAATAAGCATAGAAACAGGGGAAAAACGGATTATACCTCAAGGAAACTGCTAAAAGAGTGCAAAGATGTCTAGATTCCTTTCCTTCTTCTTGATCTACTTCCCTTTCTTGCCTCAAAACCTTCAAGAACACACACAATAGCCTCAAACTCTCAAGGAACAAGCTTAGAACGAGGTTTGGGAACTCTAGGGGTGAATGGGGGCTGGCATGGGGCAGATATGATGTTTAAATAGGGTGCAAACCCCTGAAACTTAGGGTTTCATCCAACAGCGGTGACTCACCGAGTCCAGGATATGGACTCACCGAGTCGCCAACTTAAACGTGTCCTGGGTCCCGTCTCTACTCGGCGAGTCGGATCCATGACTCACCAAGTCCAAGGCTAAAAAAATGGGAAATACTCAAATAAGATTTACATATCAGGAACCAGGTGCTACAGTAACTATGCACTTACTTGATAAAAGTTGATGCCTCGGAATTTGGATAGAACATCGCATTGGTACTTTATCTTTTTCTCGAACATAACCTAGGTTCACATTACTAAATCTTAGTCTTATATTCAATGCGATTAATGATAGTCTAGATTCCTCACTAATCCCAATGTCTACATCAAGATATATCAAGTAAGGAACAACCATGAAGGATCATATCAGAGGTAAGTTCTGTTTGGTATAGATAGTATACTATTTAAAAATCCCACTTTAAACACGTTACTAAATCCAGCCTAGACATCATCCCCGTAAGTAGATCAATAAGTATAATGACTTTGTAATTACTAATAAATCTCAATTATAGGTTTATAATAACAACTATGACTATAATTAAATGTTACACTTAAATAAAATAAGTGTAGCTTAACTTAAAGGGTTTTTAACGGAAAACTGGGAATTATGCGGGAAAAACTCCGAACCGGGAGCTTCTATTCACTGGCCATATAATACCACAAGGCTTCTAGGGATCTCAGGGTTTCGCCGAAGACTAAAACTAAAGGAAATCTAGAGCTAAAGCAGGGAGAACTCGAGAATGAAATGTAAGGAATGTGTGAAGTTCGAATAAGACACTACATGGTATTTATACCCAAAATCGAAGTGCACGTTGTGCAAATGGTCAGTACACGCTGCGCAAATGGCCGGACTGGGTGACATGGCTCCAACCGTTATGCTACACATGTCGCAATCTCGTGGCTTATCATATGTGCACCGTGGATGTTGTCATTACGTGCGGGGGCGCGCACGAAATTATATTTTCTTTAAAAATTCATATCTTTTTCATATGAGATTTGTTATCGATGTCGTGTAGCTATCAATGAGATCTACAACTTTCGTTTATACTATGTCGGCTATTTTTGACTTTATTTTTAAAGTTATATTTTTAACAGACTTAGATTATTTACGTACATTAAAACTTCACAACTCTCTTGTCTGATGTCCATTCTCGACTGTCTTTATATTGATGGATTATTAATGAGATCATCGGTTCTCGTTTATATTGTTTTTCCTAACAATCAACCGATTTTAATTTCGGTTTCTATGTCGCATACTGCTATGCTGAAACTTCTAAAAATCACAACTTACCATCACGATGTCAGATTTTTGCGTTCTTTATATACACGCTCTAGGATTTACGACTACTATGAATTTCGTTCAGATTACTTAGGCCATTAAGCGATCTATCTCCGATTCACTATTTACGATAAGCAGAGTCGTATCGATTTCATCACGAAATTTCGAAGAAGCATAACTTCTTCATACGAAGTCGGATTTCAGATGTCTTTATATGTACATAATCTTTGTCATATATACTATAAATTTGGTTAAGATTATTTATCCAAGATAAATAATCTTCTATCAAAAAATCACTTTTAACGCTTATTATATCTTAACTAACTAACCCGAATCTAGAGTTGTTACGTAAACACTAAAAATTGATATCGACATGACCATTCTTACATATTTTTCTTTTTAAGACTCGATATAAACATGTATCTTATGAATTTATGTTTTTAGTGTTCCGTTGAAATTGATAAAAAAAATTGCAACAATGGTCCCTACAATTTGTGATTTTTGGAGGTTATCGTGTAAAATGTTTTTGATTTGCGCGGTTTTTTTTTTTTTTTTTTGTTTGGTCTTCAACAAACTTTTAAAAGAACTATTATATATAGTTTATTCTTTTTATTTTAATACTTTTGTTCATATTTTTGAAAGATTTTATTATTATTAAATAAAATGAGGTTCATGCACTACCCCAACCCCTCTCCCTTATACCTAATGTAGTCTTTTCTATCTTTCTTTATTGTGTAGACACTTTTCTTTCTATACTATAGAGATTCAATCGACCACCTCTCACCATTGACACCTTCAATCTTTATCGATCATCTTTCTTTTTTAACCTTATTTGCAAGAGATCCAACCGCATCTTATTGCTTCACCCTCTACGCCACAACCTGATTTTCTGTTACCGTTTCACCATCAACAACCTATCTATTCATCGGAGAAAACCACCCTCCATCTCTTTTTGTTTTTCCATCATCCTTCTCTTTTGTCATTATCATCATATGCCATAACCACCATAGTTTGTAACCTTGTTATCGAGACCTAATTTTAGTTTTTTTTTTTTATATCAATATTTTTATGTATTACATTTTTGTTGGTCGATTTTAGGTTCCTTTAAATAATTACAGGTTGAATTTTCTCTTTGATTAATTGTTTTCATAATTCATACTATGTCTTGACTAACTCAATTGAAAGAGACAAAAGACACAAAAGACTAAAATTTGGGTTTTTGAATTATAATATTTATTTTTTGGTTGGTGCCAAATTGAACTGATAATAATTTTAAATCTACAATCAATAGAGTAATAATAAAAAGAGAAATTAATTGGAAAGAAAGTTAAATAAATAATTATTTAAAGATACATACTGATTTTAAGTTTGGCAATTTTTTTACTAAAAAAGTTCAGGGACCAAAAAATAATCTAACAGGCCCAAATCGTTTTTTTTAATCGAAAGCAATTCACAAACCACAAACATAAGGACTATTTTTGCAATTTTCTCTTGAAAATACATTTGATGTTATAAAAAATTCATGAAAGCGTTCAAAGAAGAGGGGTAAAAACGTAAATTATCCCCAAACCACCGCCGCAGAATAAATCTTCAGCTCCTCCATGCCCAGAGATCAAATCTCACTCTCTTGACACTTTCGTCGACGATCTACTCAACCAACGGTCAAAGCTTGTGTCTTTCTCCGGCCATTCTCTTTCTCCGGTATGTTGCTATTACGATCTGTCGATAGTTGTTTATGCCCCTAATCTTCTTATCGTTAATTTACCCTAATCACATTTTAATATTCGCAAATTGCAATTCGAATCCTTTGCTTTTTGTTCGAGATCATTCGATCGTTTACTTCATTTCTCAATTGATGAAATCAGTAACATTTATGATCCAATCGGTTAAAAATTAGCATGTAACAGTGTAAATCAGCTTAATTCTCGATGGAAATTGAAAACGGGAACTGCAATCCGGTTTCACTTTTTTCGATTATTTTCAGTTCAATCAGTTACTAAATGCTGTTTGAACTGAATCGAAACAGGAGATCATTAGCTATTCGATCAACAAGTTGCCTCTCTCTTCCTGATTATCGCAACATGACAGCCATTGATGCTGGTAAATCTCCTGTTTTCTCTCTCTGTTTACACACTTATAACTTAATCTATACTTCTAACACTCGATTGTTTTGTCTCAGTTACCTCAAAACTTGACAAATCCGGCAAAATCTTCGTCGCCGGCCACCGCGGCCTAGTCGGATCTGCAATCGTACGCCGCCTGAGAACCGTCGGCTACAACAATCTCATCCTCCGGTCACACACCGAACTAGATCTCACCAACCAATCCGCTGTCAAAACATTCTTCTCTCTCGAAAAACCTCAATACGTGATCCTCGCAGCAGCCAAAGTCGGTGGAATCCACGCCAACAGCACCTACCCCGCCGATTTCATCACCATCAACCTCCAAATCCAAACAAACGTCATCGACTCCGCCTATCGTTATGGTACAAAAAAACTCCTCTTCTTAGGTTCTTCCTGCATCTACCCTAAACACGCTCCTCAACCCATCCCAGAATCTTCTCTTCTCACCGGACCTCTAGAACCTACCAACGAATGGTACGCCATAGCCAAAATCGCCGGAATCAAAATGTGTCAAGCGTATCGGATCCAACACAACTGGGATGCAATCTCCGCCATGCCTACAAACTTATATGGTCCGAATGATAACTTCCACCCGGAAAACTCCCATGTATTGCCGGCATTGATGAGGAGGTTTCATGAGGCGAAGGTGACGGGAGGGAAGGAGGTGGTGGTGTGGGGGAGTGGGGCGGCGTTACGTGAGTTTTTACATGTTGATGATTTGGCGGATTCAGTGGTGTTTCTGTTGGAGAATTATTCGGATTTAGGGCATGTGAATGTGGGAAGTGGGAAGGAGGTTTCCATTAAGGAGCTTGCAGAAATGGTGAAAGAGGTTGTGGGATTTGAAGGGGAGATTGTTTGGGATAAATCTAAACCTGATGGGACTCCAAGGAAGCTTATGGATTGTTCTACGATTGTGAAGATGGGTTGGGAACCCAAGATTTCTTTACGTGATGGGCTTGTTGGGACTTATGAATGGTATGTTGGAAATGTGGTCAAACAATGACACCAAAAGTCAAAACTCTTGGTAAGTTAGTAATAAACTTGTTTTTGGCTTTTTGCTATTGTTATGATTATTGATATTGAGATTTTTATGTTGTATCATTGTGAAGAATGAGTTATGTTACTTGAATGAAACAGTTTATAGTGAGATACTACTCAAAACTATGCTGCTATTTCTTTTTCTGTGCATGTTCACTTGAATAAGGCATGAAATAGCAATGTACTTTTTTTAAGCGACTAAACTAAGTTGCTATTTTTTTTTGTGTTTAACTTGAAGTAATATATATCAATGTGCTTTGGTTTTTAATTCATGAAATTGCAATGTACTTTGTTTATATATTTCATTCAACTTGAAATAATGTCTGTGATGGTTAGTTTTTCAATTTTTATTGGTTGTAATGATAAATAGAGAATGGGCAAATGGAAAAGTAATTTCATGGAAATCATGAAATTACAAGGTACTTTTTGGAATGTAAACTTGTCAGAAGAAAACTTGACACCATTTGAACACCTTCACAAACAAACACGATCACACATAGCAACTTAGTTACTATTTGGAATTGTATAACGAAATTCAGCTGAATATTGTAGCTGAATTTTGGATAGTTATTATCCATTGCGATCCATATATAAACGTAAAATATGTAACGGGTAGGATTTAATTTGGCCATTGATAGGATGGATGTGGTTTCTCTAGCAGATAGGAACCATTAATATTATATAATTTCACAATTTTATTGATTTAGTTACTTACTACTTTATATAATTATTAAATAGTTTTTTTGATAAAATTGCGAAAATTATCCCTGTGGTATGCAAATTTTTGGGGTTTTAGTCTAAACAATGATTTTTTTGGTTTCGTAGTCATTTTGGAGTGGTTTGTATGTGAAAATGGTCCCTCCGAAAATTAAAATGACTATAATACCTTTGGGGTATTTATTTTTCATTTTTCATTCATTATTCTTAAAATTTAATATTTATTTATTTATTTTAACAATTAAAAAAATAAAAAAGAACTCACCTCTCTCTCTCTCTCTCTCTCTCTCTCTCTCTCTCTCTCTCTCTCTCTCTCTCTCTCTCTCTCTCCGGTTTCAATACCCAAAGATACAACCCACTATCATCTTCTTCATGACCCTCGTCTTTTTCAAACCCTAACTCCTCACCACCATCTCTCCTTCCAGTCACCAAAATCAACTACCAACACCATGATCTACAGAAGCAGCGACAGTGGGCGGTGATCTGCAGATTCGGTGAGTTCCCAGTTGACCCACCTAGATCGTATAAGGATATGGTAGTGTCGGAGATCTAGAGTAGCAGCGACAGTGGGCGGTGATGGCAGCTTCGCTGCTTCCACTTCTTGTTCCGACGAGCTCGATGAGGATGGAGGCAAACTGAGATGGGTACGACGGAGGGAAAAAGTAGCGGTGGATGGTTGTGGGTGGCAGGCCTTGGTTGCCTCTCGCTATCTTCTTCGTTTTCTGGGCAGCGGGTCGTCAAGAGGGAGGTAATAGGAGATGGGATGAGGTTTGATGTTGTTTGGTGGTGATTCACGGTGATCAAAGTCACCGGTGGTGGTTATTGATGGAGGCAGCGACGGTTCTTGATGGGTTTTGGTGGCAAGCTCCCAAAACTGGAGGAAGGCAGTAGATGGTGGTGTTTTGAAGCTTGCTTGACGGATTTTAATGGCGTGGATATAAGGTGGAGTTGTGGTGGATGGGTTCAAACGAAAGAGACAAAGACAAATGCTTCACCTTTTTGAGTAAACCACAGTGGACCAGGAAGAAAAGAATTCAACACGTTTTCTTGAGAGAGAGAGAGGTGGGCTCTTTTTTATTTTTTTAATTGTTAAAATAAATAAATAAATACTAAAATTTAAGAATAATGAATGAAAAATGAAAAATAAATACCCCAAATGTATTATAGTCATTTTAATTTTCGGAGGGACCATTTTCACATACAAACCACTCCAAAAGGACTACGAAACCAAAAAAAATCACTGTTTGGATTAAAAACCCAAAAATTTACATACCACAGGGTCCATTTTTGCAATTTTGTCTAGTTTTTTTCCAGAAAAAAAAATTGACGTTATCATCGTAATTTATAATGTACTTTTAATGTTTTATGATTTAGTTGTCTTTCATCGATTTAGCTATCAAAATGCCATCATTGTAAAACTAATAATTTGATGAACGGATACGTAAAACGATGGGATACATTTTGCTTTCATGCAAAACCATATAACCAGAAAATAGTATTTTTAAACGATTAGAAAATATAATGGTTTAATTGTTGTGGAAAATATTTAAATGATCAAATTGGTAAACTAATAAAAAGTACATTTGTGTTTTACTGGTTATTAATCAACTAGTGGGATGGCCCTTGGGCTATTAATCCTATATTTTCGCTTATAGGATCCATTTTTGTAAATTTTCTTTGAAAAGCGGGGATCATGTAGGGAAACCATTTTGTAATTTTGTGAAATATATAGACCATTTATGTTATTTTGCTATTAGGTAGTACCTTTTTCTGTAAATTTGTATAGCAAAGGAACCGTTGCTGTAATTTTACTATTAAACAAGGACAAGTTCTATAAATTTGTGAAACGTAGGGATTATTTCTGTATCTCTGTGAAACAAATGGACAATTTCTATAAATTGGCTGTTGGGGACTGTTTTTGTAACTTTGTGGAAAACAGGGACCATTTCTCTAAATTGGTATTAGAAAGAGACCATTTTTGTAATTTAATATAGCACAAAGACCAATTATGTAATATTTATTAAGCAGGAGCCATGTGTAATATTTCCATTAAACAGGGACCATTTATGTAAATATGCTTGTTTTCCTAAATTGGCCTGTTAAATAGTTGTATAATGGATGTGATGGAATTTTGAGGTTGCATTAAATAAGTTGGAATAAAAAAAACTGTCTTAATTTTTATACACATGGTTTTCTTCATTCCACATTTTTATATTTTTTTATGAGAAAGAGAAATCAGTAAAACGACGTCGTTGTATTCCATGCATCAGTTGGATGATAACTTGGCAAGTGTGAGTGCTAATACCTTCACCCCATTTTCTACATCTCCAGGGGACGCATACTCCTCAGGTTTATGACTATACCCTGCAAAATTAATAAGAAAACTTCAAATTCTAACAATAACAACAATATTCCCATATTTCCTATATTACCCTTCCTTTTAAATTTTATCCACCACCACCAATTCCACAATTTTTTCAATTTCATAACACAGGTCCAACGCATGTCAAACATCTACACTACAAATATGGACAAGCGAGTGTACCTTTATAACATGGAATGAATATCATGCCCATGGGTGCTTTTCTGCAATCAAAATATAAAATTGTTTTTTTTTTTTTTTTTTTTTTGAAAATTGAAAATATAAAAGAATAAGTTAAAAAGAGATACCTGGCCATAAAGAGTGAATCATGATAAGCTCTACTAATCATCTTCTTACTACTCAAATTCAAGACTTGAGTAGCTGATTCCATTGCTTCGATCACCAATTCATTTGAAAGAGCAGGTGGATCTTGGTTCACAATTCTAAACCCTAAAAGCTCAACACCTCTCCTTTTCGATATCATCACAGCAGATTCATGGATTTTTTCAATCACATTATTTCTTCGCTTTTCATCAATGTCTCGTGTATCTGTAAACAGATCATAAATTTATTTTACCAATACTTTAAGTTTCTTATTAGTTTTTGAATTTTTGTATAAGTGCACCTATTTCCATGTGTGCTTTGCTAGGGATGCTGTTAATTGCTCCAGGATGCAACTCCAGTATACCTTCAAACATAATACAAAAACATCATTTTAACTTTTAAGGATAAATGATAATGAAACTGATTTCAAAAAAAAAAAAAAAAAGATTACCAACAGTTCCAACAGTGTCTATGGATCCAGATTCAAGAACATGTTTTTCCACAGCTAGTGCCAGCTCAGCAGCAGCCAAACCTGCATCATTTCTTTTCCAAAATTGTGTACAAGACACAAATATGTCATACAAAAAATTAAAAAAAAAAAAAAAAGATATAAAGAATTTATTTATTTTATTACCTTTGAGGCATTAAAGCAGCTCCAGCATGACCTCCATTTCCTCCAAAATCAACTTTAATACTTGCAGGAGCAGCAATAGCAGTCACAATACCAATAGAAATTCCTTCATTTTCCAAAATAGGTCCTTGTTCTATATGCAATTCTACAAAAGCTGCATATCTTTTATCACCTAAAAACACAGTGGAAAAGTCATTGTTTTCTGCATATCCAGCAGATTTTGCAGCTTCCATGAAGGAAATATTCTGATTATCTACAGTTTGCTTAAGAGCTGTAGCAAGTGTGACACTTCCAGCTAATAATCGGCTGAAAAAAGAATTAGATAAGTATAAGAAAAATAAAGATTAATTGGTGAATTATCTTTCATTCTAAAAAGTACAAACCTTCCTAAACAACTGATGCCATATCTTGTAGGCTCTTCTGAGGTAAACATGATTACTTCTAAAGACCTTTTGGGCTTAAATCCAGATCTGTAAATTCCAAACATGAAGATAAAACAAGACTTTAGGTGACAAAAAAAAACACAAAAAGTGCAATAAACTCAAAAGATTTAAACACCTCTTTAGTACATTAATGGCTTCAATGGCACCCAATACACCAACTACCCCATCATATTTCCCAGAATATGGAATTGCATCAATGTGAGATCCTGTTGAAACAGCAGATAGATCTGGTTCACTACCTTCCCTGTAGTGTATAGAATCAAACAAGATCAAAAGTCAACTTTAAGAGGTTGACTTTAGTACGAAATATTTCTATGTTATAAAGAGAGACATAGCAATTAGCATGATGTTAAAAGTAGTACAAGATATTGTTTAAGGCATACAAAGAAACTCACCACTGACCAAATATATTGCCAACAGCATCTTCTCTCACAGAAAGACCAGCTTCTTTCATCAACTTCTTGATGAACCTAAATGGAAATTGATAAAAAAGATTCAAGAAAAAACAAATGATTATAAACAGATTTGTGTTTCTTCAACAGACTAACCACTTTTTTGCAGTTAATATATAGATTGATCATTATAGAATATAGAAGATATTCCTTTTCAATCAAAACTATAACTAATTTCATAAGAAGATCATGAACAATTCCATAGGGCGATTATCGTTTTTAAGGCGTAATTCTAATGATCATAATCGATTACTTACCTTCTAGCTAGTACATCGTTTTCGCTGTACAAGATCCTTGTTACTGAAGGGGCTGGTGAATCCGAGAAACTCGAAAGTTCATCGATCTGTTTTCAATTTTAACAATATAAGTAACTCATTTGATCATCAAAACTCGAATTTGGAGTTTACTGGGATGCGGAGTGCAGTTGATGCTTGAAAAGAACGATTATCATTCCTACTGCTACTGCTACTACTTTGAATTCAGTTCGGCATAAGTAAAATATCGATGATGAATAGAAGCAGAAAACGAGTGGATTATGAAACTGAATGATAAACCACCTGTTTCTGAAGATTTACAGAATCCACCGCGAATGAAGAGACGGAATCAATTTCATGAAGTGGATATCCGGAGAATTCCTCCATTGTTTTGATCGTTGAGTCCATTTCATCAACATTTTGAGCTTGTACGCAAGCGATGAAGGTAACGAAAAGAACATAGAGCATGAGACGGAATCTGAAAACCATCATTATCCTTGTTCGATTGGGATTGTTGGGTTTAGAATTTAGATGAGTTTAGAGTGAATAATTTAGTCACGGAGTGGAGAGATGAATCCAACTCCATTAATCAAAGGGGTGTATCGCATGTGGAGCAGATGATGACAAAGTACAAACAACTTTGCCTCTAAAAGCTCGTATTTTCTTCAATAAAATATCTCCATTTAAATTTCCTATGTCACCATGAGACCCAAAAGAAGATAAAAAAAAAATTAATTGTATTGAAAATTGATAGAAATGATGGAATTCTTTCATAATATTTGATAGAAATGAAATTAAACTATTTTTAAAGGTTCTAAATTAAACTAGTTTTCATGATAACTACATGTAATGTTTGTAGATTTTGATACAAATTTTAGGGGTTAAATTAATTATATAAAGGTTTGACAAAAGTGTAAAAATGGGCTATGTGGGTTGTATATTTTTTTAGAAAAAATGTTAAAACCAATATTTTGATCCCTTCAAAATATGAAATAATGGTAATATTTTTGATGTATTTAAAAGAAAATTTTCACAAATGGTCCTTTAGTTTTATCATTTTTTTCCTAAAATAATCCCTACGAAAATTTTTCCCATGAAATGCTCCTTATAGAGCAAACGTTGTACACAAATGATCCTTATCATTGGTGTCCGTTAAATGGATCTGTTAAGTTAATTTTTTTTTGGATAATGTCTATTTATGCCATTTTGTGAAACATGTTTAATCAACATTTGTGAAATTTTACCCATGCACCATTTGAAATATAACATTGTTAGTCTCTCATTTTTTTCTTTTTACATTTGCGACCATCTTTTTTACTTTTTAGTTTTTTTTAATTTAAATTTCTTTCAAAAATTTCCTTAATTTTTTCATAACTTTTTTATTATATATTTTTTAATATATAAATAATTTTTTTGTTTAAATTTTATCTAAAATATTCAAACTATAATATATAACTAAATGTTTTCATTTTCTATTTTTATCTAAAAAAATTTGAAGTATAAAAACAACATTTTATTACTTTTAAATATTTACATAATGTGATTTTTAATATTTATCTTCATTTATCTTATACAAATATATTTATTTTTATGAAGAAAAAAAATATGATGTGTTAAGTTGTAAGGATTTGACAAATGTTTGACGTAATAGAACAATATTTGATGTTTTTATTTACTATTCTAGAGAGCTTATTAGGTTGCATGTATTGAGCATTATTTGGCAGTTTTTATGACTTAATTGGTAGAATTTTGCTGTTTTGATAGGTTTAATTTGATATTTTTTTTTTCTTAATTAGTTTAATGGACTTGATTCAAATGAGCCTAAAAAGTCCAAACCGTGAAACCAAATCGGAGCCAAACCTTTACTAATGGTTCTGTTTGGTTTGGTTTTAATTTCAGTGGTCCAACTTCAGTTTTCGATTAACAAAAACTGTTACTAATAGCTGACTTCACTTTTACCTAAAAATCGAAAAAACCATATCGTGAACACCCTTACCCCATATCTATTATAGGGAAAATTTAAATCGTGTAATACCCTGCCATTTTAAAATTGGAGTTTTGACTTTTTTGAACATTAGAGTATCAAAATCGACTCTATTTAACCATTGAGGATCTGATCACACTAAATTGGACCCTAAAGACTTATTTTTGGCTCGATTCACCTCATGCGACTGTGTAACATACACGTTCTGAAATTGTGTATTGTTATTATTAAAAGTGAATAAAATTGAGTGTTGAGTTGTAACAACTAGTTTTTACTAGAAATGAAGTAAAACTATTTTTAGAATCACTCATAAAATATTGGAAGTCTTATGAGATTCCAATTAATAGTCAAATAATGAAAATTTAGTGAAAATATAAAATTTGAAATAAGTAAAATTTTATTATTTGATGTTGTAAATCATCTTGTTAGAAACTTGTAGGCGAAAACCTCATCGAAATCCGAGTTATAACGAAGAAGTTATGACCAACCGAAGATCCGCGACAAAACCGGCACGGTGCCGAATGACGTAAAAAGTGAGTTTTTGATAAACTACTTTTTAGCCTTAGTAATCTAAATGAAATTCGTAGTATTCGTTAAACCGAGAAATTCAATAAAATGGACGCCAAAATCTGACTTTGTATGAGGAAGTTATGATTTTTCGAAGTTTCAACTTAGCAGTAGACAACTAAAAACTCGAATTTTAGATCGAGCGATATTTGATGGATACATTCTAAATGAGAATCGAAGGTCTCGTCATTTTTAGTACAACGGTAAAAAGTCTGACGAAAACGGATGTCGGATGAAGAAGTTATGAATTTTTAACGGATTTTCCTGTCCTGTTCTGTTAAAAATAATAATATTAAAAATAAAGTCAAAATTAGCCAACGAAGTCTAAACGAAAGTTGTAGAGCGTAATTTTAGCTATGCGTGCATATAAAGAACGTCAAAAACGGAGCTCGTATGCGAAAGTTATGGATTTTAGAAGTTCGGGCTCAAAAACCGAGAAATCTCGCATGAATAGTAACCGGCCACGTCACCTCGCACGAAGCAGGTGCGTCACCGGAGACGTGGCCTCGCCTCGCAATGCCACTTGTCGCACAGGTGTCCGAAACATGCGAATCCATCAGAGACCCTTGTTGCTGCCACGTCCTTCGCACGAGGAAGCTACGTCACCGAGATGTTGGACCGGTCCGAAGTCGACGCGTGTCTGAACCTCGCTTCGCACCAGCGCCCCCTCTTGCATGCGAGCCACGTGCCCCTCTCTCCTGACGCCACCGAGCTTCTTTGCGCCAGCTGTTCCGAGCCTCGCCTTTGCGCTGCGTAGCCTTCGCAACTGCTGCCACCTGCCCCTCCAGATCCGAACCTCGCCCTATAAATAGAAGCCTGCGAGATCTTCCGGGTAATTTTAGAAAATTGCCATTTTTGGCCCCTTTTTCCATATTTTCACTATTTTGAATTTTTCTGAAGCCCCGGTATCAATTTTAGCACCCGAAACACGTCCCGAGACCCCCGAGAAGCCTGGAAATTTTATCTTTTCGGTTTTGAAGCCCTACCTTCGCAGAGCCCGGTTTTCAATTAAGCTCCCGGTTTTCAACATAGAAAGTCATATTTAAAGCCGAAATGTTGTCTAAATTACTATTTTAACCCTCGGTTAATTTAAGGTGAGTTCAATATATAAGAACAATTGTATGTTATGTGTTATATGTGCTATGCGCTTCTTAGTGTTATTATTCTGAGTTATTCTCCCGTGTTATTTTATTCGCTATGTTTATAGCAATCATAATACCTTTGACCATGTGATCAGTGAAAGGACTTAGATTCACATTGGTACTGGTACGTAGCCTCTGGCCATGTAGAGCATGCCTCCGTAAGAGAATGACTTCTATTCTATGGCATTGGCAGAAGGTTAGATAAGAATGGTATGTAGCCTCTGACGTAGAGCATGACTCCGTAAGAGAATGAACTCTATTCTATGGTACTGGCAAATGGTTAGACAGGGCTATAAGCCTGAAATCTACCAAAATATTAATCAGAAATTATATGTCTTCTGTGCCAATTGGGGCAAAGCTTTATTGATGCATATCAAATATTGAAATCGTTATGTATCGTTGAAAAGTATATCTTTGAATAAAGTCTTTGATTGATATGAACGTTTGTCACATGATTTCACATATGTCTTCTTGTTCCCTTCTGCTTCTGTCATATTGGTATATGTAAGGCATAAGATTATATTATATCTATTTATTGAATTCACTAAGCGTTATCGCTTATTCCTCTCAATATTTAACAATTGCAGGTGATGAGTATTCCAATATAGCTTTATACTGCTGAAAGATTTAGAATAGTTAATAGTATTTCTCTGTATTTTTAATGTTCATGTATGTATATGAATAGTAGATTCCTGGGTAGACATGAAATGTAATAAAACTTAGTCGGTTTGTATCCAGTCCTTTGTAATCACTTTATCAATATAAAATATTGTTTTATAAATATGCATGTAGCATGTTTTGAGGAAGTAACTTAAGAAATCTTTTGAAATAGTATGAAAGTTTGGGTCTTTCATAAATACGAAAGTTGTGGTCTTTCAGACTGACACATATTTTTATCTTTAACTGAAAATTGCATACTTATATATTTAAAATAAAATAGCAGCATACTATTATTTCTATAATAACATATTTTTTTTATAATAACACATCATTTTTTTTATAAAAATAAATATATTTGAATAAGATAAATGAAAATAAATCTTAAATATTACATCATGTAAAAATTAAAAAGTAATAAAATGATATTTTATACTTCAATGTTTTTTGAATAAAATAGAAAACAAAAAAAATATATTTAATGTTTGTAGATTTTGATATAAACTTTAGGGGTTAAATTAATTATATAAAGGTTTGACAAAAGTGAAAAAATGGTATTTATTGTTAGTAATTTTTTTCAAGAAAAAAGTTTAAACCGTTAAAATTTTAGATTGATGGTTATTTTAAACTAGTTTCGTTACGTATTTGGTCTCTTCGAAATATGAAATGATTGTAATATCCTTGATGTATTTAGAAAAAAAAATTCACGAATGGTCCTTTAACTTTACCATTTTTCCCTGAAATGATACCTATGAATTTTTTTTCTACCTATGAATTTTTTTTCCCTAAGATAGTCCCTCTGAGCAAACATTGCATACAAAGGTCCTTACTATGTATACCAACATCCAAGTTCAAGTTAAAATTGAAATATGGGGGTTATTTTCATCTATCAAATAACGGTTGTAGGCAAATATATTGCTTTTCGCTCTTAAAAATGTAGCTACATAGACGCATTTTTATACAAGTTAAGTCAACTACATGAAGAAGTTACAAAGCATTATGCATCAAAGAACAACCCATAATTTTCTATTCTTTATGCTGACAAGTATGCACCAGACAAATCCTTTACTAAGCTTGATTCTAATGAAAAGTTCATGGTTATGCTTAGCATGTATGGAAGCGAGAAACAAGTAACAATTTATGTGACAACAGAGAATAACCTCGACTCCAATAACCATACTAACCATTTGTGTGCCAACAGATATGAACCACACGATGAGTATGATGCAGAACTTTGTCCTAGTGAAGAAAGCTATCATAGTCATCTTGACTTTGATAATGAAGACAATCTAATGAATGATGATGATGTAGTTTACCCAGTTAGTAAGAATAGTATACGCATGGAAGTCGACTCAAAATTTGAAAACGTGGTTGATTTTAGGAGATCTTTGAACCAATTTGCAGTCACAAATGAGTTTAACTACTACATTCAGAAAAGTGACCTGACACGATTCACAACAATGTGTGAAAACCTAGAGTGTGAGTGGAGAATTAATTCTTTTATTACACAAGATGAAGTTACCTTTGAAGTAAGTGTATACCTTAAGTTATACTTAACACCCTTTATATTAAAAATATATTTATGTTTTTATTTAATTCTTTTTTTTTTAGGTTAAGAAAATGGTAGAAGTATATACTTGAACTCGAAGCAACAAAGGTGGCAATAAGCGTGCCACTCAAGGATGGGTCGCTAATGTAGTTACTAACAAGTTGAAATTTGATGTGGATTTCTCTCCATATGAGCTTAGAAATTGGATTATGAAAACTTACAATGTTGACGTGCCATACCTAAAAGTTTTTAGAGGGAAATAACAGGCTTATACCGACATGTATGGTAAGTGGGAAGACTCTTTCATGAAGATGGATGAATTTAAAGAAGAACTGTTACAAAGGAAGCATTGTTGAAATTGACTTTGACATAGTTGGTGGAAAGAAACTTTTCAAAAAGTTTTTTATTTGTTTAGCAGCTTGTTCCAGAGGATTTTGTTGATGGTTGTCGTCCGTATATTGGTCTTGATGCCTGTCATTTAAAAGAAAAGTTCAATGGTGTACTAGCTGCTGCAACTGGTGTTGATGGTAACAATTCTATATTTCCAATAGCATATTGTGTGCTTGAATAAGAAAACACACAATCATGGACATGGTTTCTTGACTCACTCAAAAAAGCAATTGGAACCCCAAATGACCTGGTTATCTCATCGGACATACAAAAAGGGTTAGAAGTAGTCATGCTGAATGTTTACCCTAATGTTGAGCATAGAGAATGTATAAGGCACTTATATAGCAACTTCAAGAAACACTTCCATGGTGATTTCTTTAACACCAAACTATGGGTTGCTGCAAAAACATATAGTCCTACCAAGCATGACAGATTATTGAAGGAAATTAGTGATAAAAATGAAGATGTCATTGCATATCTAAATACCAACTACAAAAAAAAATATGGAGTAGAAGCAAGTTTGGTACTACTTTCAAGTGTGATTACATCAGTAATAATATTTCAGAAACATTTAATTCTTGGATTGGTAAATTGTGCTATAAACCCGTGCTTGATCTCCTTGACGCAATTAAGGAAAATATTATGAAACGATTTGATAAGAAAAGGAATTTGGTAAATACATGGAATGGCGCATTGGTTTAGTTTTTTTTACTAAAAACCATCTTAATGACATCGCTAATGTAAGCATGTTAAATAATTCAGTTGAATGATTATATTTGTTTTAGTTTTTTACTTCAATAATACATATATATCTAAAATATATATGTTTTTAATTTTTCATGTAGAATTTGGGTGAATATGAAGTTACTAGAAGTTGTGACAATCAAGTTGAAGTGAAATACAATAGAACACAATTGGGAGGTCAACATACATGAAAGAAAATGTAGTTGTCGAGTGTTGCAAGTTTTTAAAATTTATAATTAATCTAATTTAATTGATAAATATTATTAGGTAAAGAAAAAAATAAAAAAATGACAAGGGACTAAACATGCATTTGAGGTACTTAAACGGAAACCACTAATGACTAACGGTGATAGAGATAAGGTTTTTCCTTTTCTTTTGCCCTGAAAAACGAGTTCAGTATAAATTAAATTGTTTTTTTTTGCCTGAAAATTGACTATCAGAAGAAATTATGGTTGTTTTGGTTTTTTTTAAAATTTTTTTAAAATTTTCATTTTTTTATACTAAAATCGTATTTTGATTTCTTAATGTTGAAATCTGATGTGGTAATGTTTGAATATGTTTCGTGAAACGTAGGTAGTTTTTTCGGTAGAAATAAACTTGTTTTTAAAATATGTTTCTTGAATCTTTTTGCGTTGAGCTCCATTTATGTGGGCAAAAATCGGAATGATTGATGCCTAGTTTATATCTCAACCTACAAATACTTCACTCATACAAATTTCAATTGGTAAATTATATTTACCCTTTTAGTGGTTAGTTTACTCTGTTGGGCTAATGTCATAAAAACCCTTAAGTTTTCAGGGTTTTGTCGGTTTTGCCCAAAGTTGAATTTTATATCCGTTTTTACCCTAACATTTTCCAAAAAATGTTCGGTTTTACTCTTTTACCGGTGATAACAGGTTACCATTATATTAGCTTCGCAAATAAAACCCTTAAGTTTATAGTTTTTTACGTTTTTACCCTTAAGTTTATATTATTTTTACACTTTTACCCTTTGTATTTTTTTTCATATTATATGTATTCATGCAGAAAATTTATATTTATATACAAAAATTTTTAATTAAGTATTGTATTTATATTTTTTTTAATGTTATTTCTTCATATAACATTAAGATGTAAAAAAAAAAAAAACGCACATTAATATGTTTTTAGAACTACAAGTACATATTTTTATGCATTTAAAAATATACATGTCAATAAAAAAAACTTGTTGAATCATAAACATGTTTATATAAGTATATACATATAATCTTAGAAGTGTAAATATGTATTTTGATATATGTTTTTTCAAGTACAAATATATTTTTAGAAGTATATATACATATTTATATATAATAATGTAAAAATATGTATTTATACTTCTAAAAACTACATCTATAAAACACATATTCATAATTCTAAAAATATTATTTATCTTTTTAAATGGTATAACCTTGCAAACACACACACACAAACAAACAAATGTTTTCACTATCTATTGTGTGCATGTATGATTGATTCTGGACCAATCATTTTAATTATTTTAAGAAAGTAATTAATGCATATTAAATGCTGAAGATGTAAATAATATCCATTATATCTTCAACATCTAATATGCATTAATTACTTTCTTAAAATAACTAAAATGATTGGTCCATAATCAATCATACATGCACACAATAGATAGTGAAAACAAAATAATCTAACCCTATATATATATATATATAATATATATATATATATATATATATATATATATATATAACATTAAAAAATATAAATACAATATTTAATTAAACATTTTTTCGTATATAAATACGATTTTTTTAAATGAATACGTATATTATGAAAAAAATACTTAGGGTAAAAGTGTAAAAAAAATTATAAACTTAAGGGTAAAAACGCTAAAAAAGGTAAACTTAAGGGTTTTTTTTTACGAATTTAATATAATGGTAACCTGGTAAACCTGTTATTACCGGTAAAAGGGTAAAACCGAACATTTTTTTGAAAGTGTTAGGGTAAAAACGGATATAAATTTCAACTTTGGGTAAAACCGACAAAATCCTGTAAACTTGAGGGTTTTTATGACATTAACCCTAATCATTTTATATATCAATTTAATATCATAATCATAATATATTAATAATTTATGATATCTTTAACTATTTTAAACACGTATTTGCTATAATTTAAAGTATTTCCTCAAATAACGCAGCGGGTTTGAGACTTTGAGTTCGGAATCGGAAGGGAGATTGCAAGTTTGAGTTCAAAAGGGAACCTACAAATTCCGACCCCTCTAACATAAATCTCCTCCTGCAGTTCATCGCCTCACGACAATCTATCCCCCACCTTCGCTGCTCTGCTTCGCCAAGAATAATCACGAATCATTGTCAGGTAAGTTATGTTTGTTTATGTAGATTTCACCATATGGATTGTTGTTACTTTTTTCGCTTTTGCTAATTTTGATTTGGCCTGTTGCGTTTTGATTTTGCTCAAAACTGTTTTAGGGTTTATAAACCCTTAACCAAGCGTAGAACAAACTGATAGGATCTAGCTGTGGATTTTGTTTGAATTTGGGGAATTGTGATCCTGTACCTCGAGGACCAGGGATTTTAACTAGCAGATTCGTATTAAAACACAATTTTTCTTTATAGTGGCATCGGATAATCATTATGTTCACTTTTCTGTAATGCGAGGTTAGTTATGAAATAATAAACATATGAATTGAAGTTGATTAACGAACTGAACAAACATCTCCACTTTAGTCTGATTAACAAGTCTCCCAGTTCATCATCATTTCCTTTTCGCTTTCAGTATTTTCTTGAATTTGTACTCTCTTTCCAGTGTTATCTGTTATTTGTAGGCCAATATGGCAATATGTTCTTGCATTATCTATCTTTATGTTTCCATTTCCTGCCATAGACAGAGAAATTCTGTTTCTTAAATCTTAAGCTACACAATCTTAGGGCAGACACTGACATCACATTTGTTTTAGATTTTAGAGGACCTTGACACCTTGTTAATGGAATCACATGGAAGTGTTTGATTACTGAACTTACAACATAATGTTCAATTGTTATTTGATTATATTTTTCAGGATATACTCAACTGCTGAATTAAATATTTGATCAAAATCGCGAAGAAGGAAAGGGAAAGATGCTTTCAGGTTTGAAGTTCATACCCCGGGATCAGATTGATGATAAAGTAAGCCTCATTCCTTTAGTCTTCTTTTCTTATAATTCATTTACTTCAGCTAATGATATGATACTATATCATAAAAACTATGTATTAAATCTGAATCCTGAACTTTTTTAGACACATGATGAGAAGGTGAATGATTCAGATACGAAGAAAATTCATAAGAAGAAAAAGAAGCATAATCAGAGTAGTTCAAGTGACGATGGATCTCAAAGAATAAAGAAAAAGTCTAAAAAGAAATGGTATTCCTCTGAAGAAGATTCATCTTCATATTCTGATGCAAGTGAAAGTGGTAGTGATCAGGATACAAAGTCACATAGAAAAAGGAAAAAAGAAAAGAAGCACAAGAAGGGCAAGTCAAAGAAGTCAAGGAGAAAAGAATACTCTAGTGATAATGATAATGCTAAAGAAGATAAAGCAGTTGATAAAAGCCATAAAAATGATGAGAATATTATAAGAAAAGAATTGGGAATGGAGTGGATGCTTAGACCTAAAGATAACATGGAGCAAAAACCTTCATCAGTATCAACTTCTGATCTTCTAGAAGAATCTCCTGCCAAAGAGGTACTCTTTACAATGTTTTCAAAATCATAGATTTCCTTTAATCCTCATTTTTTTTCTCTTTCCAGATTAAAAAGGCGAATCCAAGAGAACTGAATCCTTATTTCAACAATGATGGAAGTGGTTACCCTGAAGAGGAGGCAGAAGTAGCAAATTCTGGAGATTCTAATCTTCTATCAACTTCTGTAGTAGGTGATGGAGGTGCCAGCTGGCGACTTAAAGCTTTGAAACGTGCTCAAGAACAAGCAGCTCGTGAAGGAAAAAAACTTGATGAGGTTCATTTTACATTTATGATCCATCTTTCATCATCATCATCATCATCATCATCATCATCATCATCATCATCATGTAAATATATTGACATTTGAGAATTTACAGGTGGTTGGAGAGAGATGGGGGTCTTTAGGTAAATTAACAGTTTCTGTAGCATCAGGTTCTGCTGCTCCATCTCGTGCTCATCTTCATGCCATAAAGAACAGACAAAGACTGCAGACTAAGGATCAGAAAACACTACCAGAAAATCAAACTGTAAGGATTACTTCATTAAAATGACCATTTTAACCTCACATCTTTGAAAAGAATTTTGTTTTGACATCAGGAGAACGAAAGGGATAGAGAGAAGGGGACGCCTAGTCAGCATGGTAATAAAATGAGAGTGCCAAGATCTGATAACTCTTTATCATGGGGGAAGAAGAAAAGTCAAAGCATGTCAATGAAGAACACTGATGCTGATGTCATCTCTTCTGCATTAGCTAGCTTACAAAAGTTCTCCAATGATGGAAGTTTCTTGAATAAATTCAAATCTCAAAAAGATGATGATTTGAATTTGATTTCTTCTACAAATGTGTCAAAATCTGAAGAACAACCTTCTCATAAACAAGATACAGATACACACATGAAACCTCCAATGAGTGCAAATCAGTTAGCTGCTAAAGTTATGCAGTTACGTATGAAAGGAAAGCATGATGAAGCTCAGAAACTTTTTGGTATTTTCCCATTTTTCATTTTTCTTTAAACTCATTAAATATCTATATTTTTATATTACACAACAAGTTTTTCGGTTAATACAGACTTAAAAAACAGTGTGAAATTGGTTTTAGTATTTATTGAAGTGTATTACAAAAAACTAGTTGTATCTAGAAATATAATTTTTTTTTTCTTTCTAAATTTGCAATTACTTTGTTACTTCAGAAAGAGGCAGAAGAGTATAAAGCGAAAAGCAAAGAAGCTGATGTCATCACAACAAACCCAGAAGGTGATGGAACCACAAGCAGGTAATTTTGCTCCCAAACTAAAAAAAAAAAATCTTTGCATTTATTTTAGTCAAAAAGAAATTTTGTAAAAACTAAAAAATCTTTATAATAATTATATTCATAGGTACATGATGCATGGGATAAAAGCACGAAAAGAGAAGAAAGAAGAAGATGCAGACATGCATGTAGCTCGATCCATAATGCAAAACAAACAGTACATTGGTATATCAGGTCAGGCAGATGATGAATACGAATATGATGATGGAGTGGGACCCAAGAGAAAGAAAAAGGGTAAAACCGTCAATACAACTCAAAATACGCGTTTTGAAAAACGCATTTTGACCCAACAAGAACGCTGCAGCTTTTGCTTTGAAAACCCTAAAAGGCCACGTCATCTTGTTATTGCAATCGCGAATTTCACATATCTGATGTTGCCTCAGTGGCAGCCTGTTGTTCCTGGCCATTGTTACATTTTGCCAATGCAGGTTCGTTTCTTTGCTTTTAGATGCAAGAAAAATATTTATTTATTTGTTTATTTTTTTAGCATTTTGAAATTTGTTTGTTTTGATGTAGCATGAGCTGGCAACAAGAAGTGTGGATGATAACGTGTGGGATGAAATACGAAACTTCAAGAAATGTCTTGTGATGATGTTTGCAAAGCAAGAAAGGGAAGTTGTGTTTCTTGAAACGGTGATGGGATTGGCAAAACAGACCAGACATTGTTTAATAGAGGCAATCCCTTTGCCTCCAGATGCTGCGAAACAGGCTCCTCTGTATTTTAAAAAGGTGAAAAGACGTTTTTGTCCGTGTTTTTGTTAATCTGGCCTAAATTATATTTTGTGTAGGCAATTGATGAAGCGGAAGAGGAATGGAGTCAACACAATGCGAAGAAATTAATTGATACGAGTGAAAAGGGTTTGCGACACTCTATACCGAAAGACTTTCCGTATTTTCATGTGGAGTTTGGTTTGAAGAAAGGGTTTGTTCATGTGATTGATGATGAATCAGAATTCAAGAGCAATTTTGGTATTAATGTAATAAGGGGGATGCTTCAGTTGCCTGCAGAAGACATGCATCGTCATCGCCAGAAACACGAGTCTATGGACACACAAAAAGAAGCGGCTGCTAATTTTGGGAGAGATTGGGAGCCTTTTGATTGGACCAAGCAACTTGATTAGCACATGTTTAGTTTGATTTTTAAATTTAATTTGTAAGCATATGTGACTAATTATTATTTTTTATTATTAAATACATGTGACAATTTTATCAACCACCTACTTTTCATAACCCCTACTCAATTTCGAAATTTCCATCTCTAGTTCTTTATATGTGTAAGCTCTTATTTATTTATTTGTTATTCTCATCATGTTTTTGAAACATTTTGAAAGGTTATAAAGATTTGAAGTACATTATAAGGCCACAAGTCTATATAACATATTTAGGACGCTATACAAACAAAATTTTGAAATCTTTTATCGTCTTGTTTTATTCATGTATCCTAAAAAGGAGTTTTGAAAATCTGTGATGATCAAACAAATGTAAGCAAGTTCAAAACTCATATCATATCAGTTTCAAATACTTACCTGACTTATAAAAACTTGTTATAGTAGGTAGCAATGATTAAAAGAGCAGGTCGATAACAACTTTATTCCTTCAAAAAGCACGAAAATAAATTAAGGGATCAAATGAGAAAATTCGAAATATATTGTTGGGTTAATGTGTTATTTTCCTTTTATCTAACCCTATGCATGTGATGAAATGTGAACATGGTTTTGTGGTTGTCCAACTTAATATTTTCTCATCACAGAGTGATGTAACGACTATCAATTAGTCGATAATTTCCCATTTAGATCCACGTACAATAGGATATCATCTCTTAGGATGCAACTCCATAAATTTGTGTCGTTTATGGCAGTGTGGAAAATTTAAGTATATAAAGGCTATTATTATGAGACAATAAGGTAAACAAAAGTATTTTCTACTTCCCATTCGTACAAGTCCGTCCATGCATATCAACAATACCACTCTTCGGATAATTACCTATTTCAAAATTCAAGTCCAAAATGGGGTATAACTTCAGTGTCGCACTTTTTTCCATTCTCTTTTCATTTTTCTTTTTCTTTTCCATCGAAGGGATTATTGGATGTTAAAGTGTGTTGCAAGGGATAAAATCAGTTGTCCTAAAACTTATAAATGAAATTGTTCTACTTGTATATTTTTATATGTTATAATTCGATTTTCAACATTGAGAAGCGTGTCTCAATAATCACTTGTTGATTCACCAACATATTTACCTTCTTGCAGAGGAACATACACAAAACCACTTATTTTATGTGTTTCATCAACAACATTGAAAACACAACTTGATTGCTTCTGACACCTTACCCATTTCCACATGACTATTTTCTATGTAATCAATTTCCAACATCCATTCAATTTACAAGAAAATTATTTCCAACTTCGACAACATAGTCGAAATAAAAATTGTTATCATATTTCGTAACAAAGCAAGAACATCTATCAAAGGGGTGATAAATTTCGTTAATTAGTTTGATACCATATATAATTCAATATGTTAGAAAGATAAACAAATCTTATTGTATGCTAAAAGTAACTTTCTTGTCCCCCAATCAACTAACCCATAAAGATTTATACCCGAAACCAATATTCATCACTTGTAACATTGTATACTCCATGTTGCCATTGATTTCCTCCCACGATCATCTACAAAAGCACTCTAAATATCTCATTAGATAAATTCATTTTGATTGAGAAAAATGTGTTTGAAAACTTCAAGATGTACAATGTGTATAAATATGGCTCCACATTTAACAAACTACTCCATATATATAACACAATATGGATTATTTCGTAACGAAAAACACATTCCACAAAGGTCATTGTGAAACCTAACTATGCTAAATGACAAAATACCAGTCAAAATTTCTTGAAAAAGAATTTAACAATACCAAGGAGTGTTGCAAGTTGCGACATATGGTAAAATGTCAGTCATAATAGAAAAAAACTCTTTCACGACATAATGATATTTTGCAATAATCGGTATTGCAAAATTGGTGATCTTGTGATATTAGTAAAAACTATTTGTTCATCATGTTGGAAGGACCAATCTATTTTGGCCATTTTTGTGATTTTCTGTAAGATATATTGATGTAGTAGTTTACTTAAGTTGTTGATTATAAACTTTTTTTCGGTGCATTATTTTTATGTATTTATTTATCAAAAATTTCTGGTTACTACTTACTACATTTACGAAATTGAAGTGGCCTTGTTATGAATTTTGCAAACACAAAAGTTATCATCACATAACTTACAAAACTATGAACAAGTCAAAACAGAAGATAGCTAAAAAATCAAACTACTTTGTAAAAAGTAAAAACACCAACAACTGCATGAATAAATTCAAGAGAAATAAGTTAATAACTAAGAATAAAAAAGACAGCCTACAGCGTCACTCTTTACAAGATGTTTTTTTTCTTACAACCCCCCAAAAACCCTTTTTTGACTGACATCTTTTATTAGTAATCAGATATATTTTTCTTTTCATTTGCTTCAGACTATTATTATTCACTGTCCATTAGAAGGACGGTGGTATACAGTATAACCATTCACACCCATCATCATGTTATTAGAGTAATCCAAATGATGATGATGATGATCATACATGCCATCATTATCATCCATGTTCCTCATGAAACTGCTGCTGGGGATACGATACATCAGACCCACTCATCTGCCACTGGCTCTGAATCAATCCGTTCATGTTCATGTTCATATAAGCTGCCTGTACGTTAGGTTGTTGGTGGGGCCCACCGATATAATCATAATTATGATGGAGTAGTACATCATGATAGCTTTGGTCAACAGATACACCAGGGTAAGTCAAGTCACGTGTCAGATGGTGGGGCCCATGAAACAACGGGCTAACTTCATCATCTAGTAAATCATTTATGATATCAAGATGTGGGAATTCATCAGCCAACATACGCCCACCAGAAACCTCGTTACAAAACGGATCCAAATACGGATCATTCACATTCACATTCACCCCCCCCAAATGATAACATTCTAGAATCTTCCATCATCTCAAAACCATCATGTAAAAACACGGACGATGATGATGATGTCATCATAGGAACCGGTGAATACAAGTTAGATGGATTTATAGTTTGACTGAAACTAGTTGAAGTTGCAGTAGCACCACCACAACCCATCATAACATTCCGGTATGACTGAGCCGGTGACACGTCAGCACCTAACCGTCCGGCTGCACTAATTGACCGGGGCAGAAACGGTGCTGCATGCACCGCTGCTGCAACCGGAAGAGTGGGTCCGGGTCCGGATCTGGACCCGGACCCTGGAACCAGCGGTGCACTCAATGGTCTGGACACGATAGGCACCACTGGTTCCACAGGCTTATCAGCCGGTTTTAAAGTCCCGGTCCCACTTTTAGTGTTGACCGGGATTACATTTTTAACTGTATTCAGTGTTTTGACTGAAGATATGGTTTTCTGGAGGTTGGTTTTCGGGGGTTGACTTTTTTGACCTTTGTAAGATCGATTCGAGACAAGTGAAGGGACTGAATCTGTTGAACAAGTGGATGAAGAATCGTCCATCACAGACGGAGGGCTAGTAGTCACGGCGGTGAGACAGCTGGCACCGCCGCTACTAGCGGCTTCTGTGGGCGGCTGAGCTTCCGATGTGTCGGTGTCCCAGTTGACTTGACTTGAATCTCTCTCATCTGAATCAGGCTGAAGAACAAGTGGAACACATTCAACTGAATCTGAAACATCAGAAATGTCTGATTTTTCAAGCAATAACAAATCTTCTGCTTCATCAATTGATAGTTGAGGTTTGTCTTGTATTACTACAGTATTAGCTTTTTCTTCCTTTATTTTATCCTTCAGTTTCGGGTTGTTTCTTTTCTGTTTCCCCTGTAAACAAGTAGAATTTTGAAATTAATTTAAGTCAAATATTCAAATATAAGAATATAAAAAATAAAATAAAAAACCTGTTTTTTCTTTGATTTCTTTTCCTTTTCACGTTTTGCTTTCTGTTCAATTCCAGTCATCCATGCTTCCTCTTCTTCACGTATGAGCTCCTCTTGCCTTTTCAAAGCAACAGCTTCCTGGTATGCAACTTCTATTTTACTGCTGTATTGTATTGCAACACATTTTTTAAACAAATACAAAACTCATTAATAATAAAAAAAAATAATAAATATTAATTTAATAGTAATACCTAAAAATATGTGCTAGGACAAATATTTCAATGGTTCTACGCCCCAATTCAGTAAGACGCCTTTCATCACGTTCAATAGAATCCTTACTAAAATCCTCCCCTGAACCACCATCCTAAATTACCAAAACGCCACCATAACACGTGTCAAGGAATGGAATCAGTCATTACATTCCAGAGTCATTAACACACTGACACTGATACTTTACCTTAGTACGGTTTTGAGGGCCTTTTTCATCTTTAGGTGGCAAAGGTTCCAATGCTGCCCTCTCGAGCAATAATAACACATCATCAACAAGGATAAATGTGTCTTTTTCTACCCGAACTATAGGTAGTGGTAGTTGTTCTGTATCCAAACATTTTCCCTTTGCTTTGTTTTTAGTTTGACTTTGACCTTCAAGGGCTTTTAGTCCACTGTATAAAGAATCCATCACTAAAGTAGATGTCACTTCTTTTTCTATAAAAAAATGTTTTACAGCAACTTTCAGTATCAAATCTGACTTCTCCCTTGACATTCTGCGCCTTGCATTTTGGTCAATTCCTAACCAGAAAGTACAGAAGCTGAAACACAGCAAAGTGGAATTCAGGATTCCGATGAAGGAATGGAATTGGAATTGGAATTATGAAGATTTAGTATCTACCTTGACCACCTAACTTTATCTTTGATCAACTTTCCTAGCCTTCCTCTCCTCTCTTCCACAAAACGGCGACATATTTGCTCCACATTTGACAAATATACCCTTACAAGTTCTCTCCTATACTGACAATCAAGGCATCTGAAAGGGCGATCCACTCTCTCCCTACAAAAGATTGAGGTTATACTTATAAGCAAAGAGAATCATGAGAAAAAAAGGAAATGAGAGATTTGTGAAGAATATGAATTAAGTTAGAAACCTGATAACTTGAACTTGAGCTTTTATTTTAAGGGTGTCAGCATCAACAAATCCATCTAAAACTTTTGATAACTCCATGAACTTTTTCCATCCCCAATCATGCTCTTTCTTCCAGAAGCGATGCAACGTGTCTACAAACATGCATTTATTTTATATAAGTGATATATATAATGACTTTTACTAATCAGAATCAGTAATTAGAACAAGAATAAAATACCAGAATATTTTGATTTCTTAGGGTCCTTGTTCACAACAGCTATTGTGAATTGTGCAAAATGACTCCACCCTGATGAGAAAGATAGGAAGAACTTATATAACTATCTTTATGGTAACTTAACATAACATAACAAAAAAAAAAAAAAAAAAAAACCTGGAAGAAGCTTGTCATGATTGGCAACACAAAGAAATAAAGATAAGTGATTGCACACATCACAACCTTGAGGGTAGATCAAAATGTACCTGTAACACATATCATATCAGGAAAAAGATTTAAATGGAAGATGAAATGTGAGAGTTATAAGTTATATTACTGTTATACCATTTGTAGCCTCCAACCTCAAAAGCATTGCTACGAAGTTCTCTCTTGTTAATCTGTGAAAACTTGTCTATCTTCCATGTATACTTCCCATATAACTCAGAAGGTTTTGCTCCTGCATTTCATAATAGACATTTGAATAATAACACTACACAAAGCCTCAAACAAAAATCAATCACAGTTTCCACATATATAGTAGGAAGTGTTTCAAGGCAATTATGTTTGGACTTTGGACACTATCTTAATTCTTAAACATTACATTACATCATGCGATATTGCAATCATATACAAATTCTACCTTATCTATAAATTGAAGGTAACAAAGAAGATACCACAATCATCATCATCATCATCATCGGTATCCCAATAAGGAGGTGATGTGGAAGCAATTCCATTCTCCACCTGCTCAGAAGATCTCCATTCCGCCAATGCTTCCCCTGAAAGCTGTTGACCGTTTGTCATTCTGCCTACCCCAGACTCCTCACTTGAACTCCCTGCCATTTTGCAACTCCACAAATCCCTACAGAAACAAAAACATAGAATATTATATATTAATCATCAAAATTTGCAATCCAACATTGTCAAATTTTATGGTAAAGCTTAACAGTGAAACTGAAAAAGATGAAGTAATTGAACACCTAAAGATATAACCAACAGGTAGACGCGTGTATGTGTGTGAATTAGGAAAATTTCTTCTAAGAATTTCACAAAAGTCGAATTGAGTTGTTAAACAAGAATCAATATAAATAGATAAAAGAAAAAAAAAAAATTAATAGCTCTTATATGGAAACCCCATCACGAAAGAAAAAACAAAATCAAACCCTAATCGTATCAAATCATGATGTGTTGTAATTAAACAGTAAGAAAGCAGATATGATAAGTGGCGGATCGAGTGACGTGATGAAGGTACCTGAGAGCAAAGAATTAGAGCTTGTCCAATGACGATTTTGGAAGCTGAATTTAGGTCTAACAAAAGATGCGAAGAGAGAGAAAGATACGGAAAACAGAGAGAGGAGCAGCAAAGCACAGGCGGAGATAAAAATATTTTACTTATTTCGTATTTATAACTTTTATCCGTTTCTAAAAAGGAAATAAAAAGTTTTTTTTTTTTTTTTTTTTTTTTTTAATGAGGACTTTTTAGTCATTTTATTATAAATATGAAGAAACAACCGCCATATATATTATATTCAGAAGTTTAATAAAAATTAACTTTTCTAATATATATATATATATATATATATATATATATATATATATATATATATATTAAAGGAATCCACCTCTTAGGAACAATACATGACCAGGGCACTGTTCATCGGGTTACTACAGAGTTACGCTTTTAGTTCCCGATCCTTCCATAGTCTTCCTTTTATCTATGCTCTGAATCATACCCATCTCTTTCTTCATCGTCTCCCCCGGTTCTCCATTGTTACTGTTTCGTCTCTACTTATTCCAGAAAAGCAGATATGATAAGTGGCGGATCGAGTGACGTGATGAAGGTACCTGAGAGCAAAGAATTAGAGCTTGTCCAATGACGATTTTGGAAGCTGAATTTAGGTCTAAGAAAAGATGCGAAGAGAGAGAAAGATACGGAAAACAGAGAGAGGAGCAGCAAAGCACAGGCGGAGATAAAAATATTTTACTTATTTCGTATTTATAACTTTTATCCGTTTCTAAAAAGGAAATAAAAAGGTTTTTTTTTTTTTTTTTTAATGAGGACTTTTTAGTCATTTTATTATAAATATGAAGAAACAACCGCCATATATATTATATTTAGAAGTTTAATAAAAATTAACTTTTCTAATATATATATATATATATATATATATATATATATATATATATATATTAAAGGAATCCACCTCTTAGGAACAATACATGACCAGGGCACTGTTCATCGGGTTACTACAGAGTTACGCTTTTAGTTCCCGATCCTTCCATAGTCTTCCTTTTATCTATGCTCTGAATCATACCCATCTCTTTCTTCATCGTCTCCCCCGGTTCTCCATTGTTACTGTTTCGTCTCTACTTATTCCAGAAAAGCACCACTGCTCTGGCTCCGCCTCAAATAATCTCACCGTCATTGGAATTCCAGGCCTTCGGTGAGGTCGGTGACTTCGTGATTATACAGCTGGTAAATAGGAACAAATTTACACAAACTGAGAGAATGTAAGAAAAAGTTGGGAACAAATTGTGGGGGAGATTGATGCACTCAAAGATAACGACTCCAAAAACCCAGATCCTAACTTCCTCAAACACGACTCGCTTTACTCTGCGCTAATATATCCCATATTTATCTTCACTATCGTCACTAAAATGGTGGAATCGACCCTAGGTTTGTGTATCTACACCAAAAAATGGTAGAATCGGCCCCAGGTTTGTGTATGTACACCTTAGCTTTTAGTCGGACTTTTTGGAGCTCTTTCTATCCTCGATTTCCTTCATCGCTTCCTCTAGAGTACCATTGATTTAAACTTCCTCGATTTTCCGTCTTCTCAAGTTTCCTTTTGAAGGGTTGGATTGGGTGGAAGCAACATCAAGCTTTTTCGAAGAGATACCTACCCTTTCATGTTATTTGGCATATAACATCCCGTATATTAAATAAATAAATGGTTAAGGGTTAATATGAATAGAAAACCCTAAAAATCATTAATAGTTTAGAAGGTGTTGGTTTCGAGGAGTTAATTGTAATAATTTTAGAAGTCATGGGTTAAAAGTATAAGTTCCGGAGTGGTTTGTAAATATTTATGAAGGCGGGGGCAGCTTGGTAAATTATTGGAACTTAATTTGAATAGATTTTGGGAAGCAAGGACTAAATGGTAAATTTCGGATTCAATTTATAAAGAATTATGAGGGCGGGGCTATTTGGTAAGTTTTGGACTTGGATTGAAAACAAAATTTAGAGGATGCCGAAGTTGTATATTTGGGATCGAAGTTTGAATGAACACGGGTTTAGACCCGGTGCTCATTTCCCTCCCGCTTCAAGATGCATTGTCGGCTAACCCTAAACCTAGTGTCTCTTTCATTAGCCGCAACCCTCCAGGAGCTTCCTCAGCCGCCGTATGCATCACCAAGCCTGTCCACCGCCTGCTGCCTTGCCAATGTGCACCACCACAACATGCCTTGCTATCGGAGATGTAGCGAGACGCTGGAATAGCCACTATGACTGATTGTTGGACCGGAGAACGTCATCGTGCGAGTCGTGTGCGAATAAGAGGCGCTCGGTAAGAATCCCAGCCACCCATATATCTCCTCTCCTTCATTTTTTCTTTGGCGTCGTACACACCGATTGGGGTCGCCGGTGGCCTTGGGTCACCGTTTCTGTGCTTTCGGACATCACCTGCCACCTGAAGTGGCTAAGTTGGGAGTATTTCGGTGTTCAGTTTGTTTTTATGAGTGTGTGTGTGTGTGTTTGCTCAGTTGGGGACCAAGAGAATCCACCACCACCACCACCGTGAAGTGGTGGCTGTCGCTCTCTACCACCGCCTATCACTGTCACACCCCCAAACCAAGGATGGCGGAAACGTCCGGGGGTGGATGACTTCATGTAGAGTATCACAACAATGAGTATAATAGTGCTCAAAGTAAATACAACCAACACAAATATAATTGAAAACGTTACATCAAAGCACATGTTTACATGATTCACCTCAATTACATTATAATACAAAATGAACTGTTTGACGATTTATCGTCCCATCCTCAAAACGTTGTTGATTTCCTGTTTTCACTGAATTCCTGAGAATACAAGTAGTTTTGAAAAGTGTCAACACAAAGGTTGGTGAGTTCATAAGAGATTTCGTTGGAAAAGTAAATCGTTTTCCTTGTAAAAGCGTTAGAATATGTATCCAGAAAATCCGATATTTTCTTTAAAATCTGCGTAATGTAGTCTTATGACTGAAGACCAAAATGTATAAGTAACCTTTCTTATTAATAGAAAATGTTATGTACTTAAATGGACATGGACGCGTTTGAATTAAATGAAATTTCTGTATGTTCTCATGTTCGTTAATACTTTATATATATGTAGTCCTAAATTAGAGGACCGAGAAATAACAAGTATTGACCATACTTAAAAGTATAAATGTGGTTTCAAATGATGTGTAGTCGTAACTACCAAAACCAAAAGTGTACAGTAATATCTGTACTCATAGAGATAAAAAGTGATTTTAAATCGACATAAAAATCATTTAGGTTTTAAAAATAAAATCCCGTAAACTTATGGATTGTTATATCCCTATGTGAGTCGCTATAATCATACTATGACTATGTGAACCTGCCACGACGTTCTCAGGTGTCGCGAAAAATAAAATGACATTTGTCACCCGTAGACCTGCAGGTCCAACTGTAGCTAGCAGCAAGGTGTGGGGTGTCAAACCCAATATAGATCTATATACAAGTATCACGTTCTCCCTCAAGGAGATTCTGATTATAACTACCAGGAATTATATCCCGCACTCGGACGTACGGGGAGAGAGAGAGAGAGAGAGAGAGTCTCACAATATAGGTTAACAAGTTTACGTGAAATGTGTGTGAATATAAATCTTTCTTGTATGAATGTACCCTTTTTGTACGAGTGTGTTGAGTGATGTATCATAAACTATACCTATTATAATTTATCTAAAATGTATGTAATATGTATGAACTCTTTTATGGAAATGTATTAGTGTTATGAATTTATCAAACTATACTTTTTATAGTTTATTATACGTGTTCTAAAATGAATGAATAATATTTATTATGAATGTCTTAGTTTCAGTTCATGATGATAAACTAACAAAGAAACACATTCAATAATTAGAACTTATGATTATACACTTTGCTCAACATATTACAAAGTGTTATGATATTTACATGCTGTTGGCTAAATTTAGCCATTCTGCCCTGTTTTGGAAAAAAATCATACGAAGTCGAAAACTAGATCCGTAAATTCTGAGAGTTCACAAAATGTGTCTAGTTTACTCATAATTTTTATCACGATTTTTAATGACCTCCAACTTGGGTGAAAAAGTCCATAATCACAGACTGGTCCGGATTGTTGTTTGAAATGATAGGCAGTTTTGTAAAAATCACCATAAATTGTAGAAAAATCGTATGGAGATGTGCAAGTAGTCATTTTAAAGCTAAAACTTGAACTATTTGCACCTTGTACAGTTTTGAAAACAAAAATGTTTAAGATGCCCAAAACAGTCCGTGAATGGAGTTGAACTTTTCTGATGAAGGCTGTTAGAAAAATTTAGTTATGTTCTTAGTGTTTTAACTTGTATTCCCCCCCCCTGAAAACTTGAGAAAACATGAAAATGTAGGGGTATGAACTCACCTTGAGTGATTTCATTAGATAAGTGTTGAAGAAGAGAAGTGTTCAACCCAAGAACACTTGAAGAATCACTTGAAGATTCGAAGCTCTAACGCTAATATGATGGAGTTTGTGTAAGATATTCATGATTTGAGTAGAATGAAGTGAAATAATCATAAGGAGGATGAATTATACTTACTAAGAGTGGAAGAACACTTGAAAATCAGCCTTGAATCTCGAAATTGGAGTGGGAAAAGTTTGAGAGAAAAGTGGTGTTTGATACTTAGTGAAATGAGGGCAAATGAGAGAAATGAGGAGAGAGGATGTTTGTTCCAACTCTAAAAACGTGGGAATGAGTGTAAATTGAGTGTGAGGGACATTGAAGTGACCCAGGTAAGGTGGGGAGGTGTGGTTAGTCAAAGAGTGGGTGTGGGGTGGTTGCTTGTGACATTGGATAAGACAAAGTCAACACTCCACCTTTAATAATTCACCCATTTGATTTTTTTTATTATTTAGATAATGATTTTCATCAAAATATGTTTAAATTACGAATATTTAGAGTTTATTATGTTAAAATATAATTTCTGGAGAAAATCCCGCTTTAAAATCATGAAAAACGGGCTTAAAATGTAAAAATATCAAAAATGGGCTAAAAGTGACAAATTTCCGAATTCTGGCCGAGGTTCGGTCTTATGATGCTGAACCGAGAGAGAGGGAGGTAGAAACCGAGA